TCCTTCTGTTCCACTGCACAATCTCTTATGTACATCACCCTCATTCCATCTCTCACAACAGGCAGTTTCTTTGCATGTCTCGTTTTAAACTTTCTCTAGCAGAACATATTGAAATGTTTTGCCCCGTTGCACAAGACTGAGTATACAGGATAACGGGAATTTCTTTAAAAATTGGTAAGCAAGGCATAACCAGCACAGAGAGCGCTTGCCGACTTCGCAGAGAGTGAGGTGCTTGCGTCGGGTCCCTCAGCTGGACTGCACAAGGCCTTCCGGACCTCGGGGGCCATCAGCATGGCTGGCGGTGGAAGGAAGCCTCAGTTACAGCACACACATCTGTATAGTTTTCATTTTTCTAACTTGCTGTCATTTCAGATAACCTATTAATTTTCATAAAGGAAAGCAGCACATCTGAATAAGATTTAGCAAGACCTCCTTGTGACTTCCCCCTCTCCTTTCTTTCTCTCTTGCTCTCTCTCCACCCACCCCCGCCCCCTACACACATCATTTTGTGTGTTGTTTTTGAAAAAAATACCAACAATTTTATATGTTTTCAATGTAAGCTTGTGTTTTGATCAGGTATATGCTGAAGATCTTACAGAAAACCATATTACCTTCACCAAGTATCTTAGCTGCATTCCTGGCTCATTTTTATATCCCTCTGCATCTTTTTTCCTTGCCTCATCTTGTTCACCTACTTCTAATTTATACCAGCTTGCCACGGTAAATGTATCTCTGTAGGTTGCCTTAAGTGCTTTTTAGAACAAGGAAGAATATAAATAAATCAGCAAAAATGTGTGAGCTAATACAAGCCAAACTAAGTCAGGGAGAATTATACCTTATATATATGTAGGGCTTTTAATTTTTCAAAGCATTTCACCCAACAGTTCCATTTTATCCTTGACAACAACACTATGAGGAAGATGGGACAGGTCTTCCTAAGCCCAACCTGGAATGGGTGGTCCTGGGCTTTGCCCAAAGTCACATGGCTGGCAGAGGATATCCATTACTAGAATCCAGGTCCCTTTACCTTGACTCTTGTGCAGTGCAAAGAACATGAGCATGAACTCCCAGATTTGGGTTCTGTCACTAGCTGTGTGATCTTGAGAAAATTCCTTAGCTTCCCTGAGCTTGTTTCCTTCTCTGTCAAAAACGAAATAATGGTATCCACCTTGCGTGGCTCCTGTAAGGAGATGAGCTCATATATGGGGAAGTGTCACACACACTACCTGGCACCCAGTGGGTGCTCAATAAATATGATGGTCTTTTCATCTACTAGTTCACCTGCTTCCAATTCAGAAGGAAACTGGCTTTTATTTTCTTCTTTGTGCTTTTCTGATTTTTCTATACTTTCTTCAACGTATATTATACTGCAATCAGATAAAAAGCGAACCAATCCCAAAAGACACTGGTGAGCTCTGCGCCAGCAGTGGGCCACCATGGCAGTACCTTGAAGGCTCTGAGCACTGCCAGGGGGTCGTCGTTTGTGAGTCGCTGCACGAGCGGGGGCCAGGCCCGGTGAGCCAAGGGAAGGAGCTGGTCCCTGTGAGACTGCAGAACTACCACACACAGATCCAGCACATCCAAGACCTGAAAGGAAGAGGGCATGGCTTCAGAAGAGAGGACAGGCTTGAAACCAGATTCTTGGTCATTCATTCATTTCATTCATTTTAAGAGAATGAAATTTAGAAACTCATTAACTGGATAAGTATTTACTGAGTCCTAACAACTGGCCAAGTACTGGCCAGGTACTGGGTGTGGACACAGGGGCAATATACACATGCTTCCTTGCCTTTGTGGGACTTATGGTCAGCAGCAGAAAGACCTTAATTAGGTAACACCCAAATAAAGGGGTGATTACCAGTTGCAACTAGTGGGAGGAAGCAATCTTCCAAAGGGTACATAAAAGATGAGTAGGGTTCATCATGAGCACAGAGGGGAAGAACTGGGAATAGTGACAAGGAAGACCGGAGGTGGGGGAGCTTGCGGTGCTTAAAAACTGCAGCAGGTAGTGCGGAGCATGACAGGAGTGGTAAGACGGGGCTGACCACACAGGTACCATGTTAAGAATTACCATGTTAAGGGCAGTGGGGAGCCATCAAAATGTTTTAAGCAGGAAAGTGGCATGATATAATTCATGTTTTTAAAAGGTCATTCTGGCTGCCGGATGGAGAAAGGACTTCAAGCGGGACAGAAGTGAGGAGGCCCTTTTGGAGGCCACGGCACATGTCCACATGAGAGGAAAGTGAGGTGGCCACATGACAGAGGCTGCAAAGTGAAAGGATCTGTTATCTGTTTAGGAGATGAAATGTTTAAATCGCTGGAAGACTCGACATTGGGGAGATGAAGAGAGATGTCAAAAAGAGCTACCTGGGCCCTGGCATGAGTGGCTGTTTGTTGAGCATCGTCCTGTGCACTGAAAGGTCACCAGTTTGATTCCTGGTCAGGGCACAGGCCCAGGTTGCGGGTTTGGTCCCTGGTTCAGTCCCTAGTCAGGGTGCATATGTGAGGCAGCAGATCAATGTTTTTCTCTCTTTCCCTCTCAATAAAAAAAATCAATAAAAACATATTAAAAAAAAATAAAGATCTGTTTGGGTTCAGGCTTAGCAACAAAATAGATGCAGGCACTGCTTAATGAGACAGGAGCAATGGAGGGGTACAGTCAAGAGGTTAGGTGTGCCCTGGCTGGTTTGGCTCAGCAGTTAGAGAGTTGGCCCACAGACTAGAAAGTCCTGGGTTCAGTTCCCGCTAAGGCATGTACTTCGGTTGCAGTTTGTCCCCGGCCCCGGTTGGGGTCGTGTGGGTGGCAACCACTCCATGTGTCTCTCTCACATGGGTGTTTCTCTCTCTCTTCCTACCTTTCTCCCTCCTGCTCTATCTGAAGATAAATGCAAGAATGTCCTCAGGTGAGGATTTTTAAAAAAAGAGGTTAGGTGAGATCAAGCTCTGTTACTCCTAAAGGGAGAGGTCCAGTAGGCGGTTGAGATACAGGCCAATCTCAGAAGGAAGTTTGGGGTAGCCTAGATATAAATTGCATTTTTCACCTTCCTGATCTCTCCTCTCTCCAAGCTCACTGAAAACAGGTCTGCTTCGGTAGCATGGGCAGTGGTCAGCAATGCAGGTTTCTCTCCCACACAGCTGGGCAGGCTTCCCTCCCACACAGCTGGGCAGCTTCCCTCCCACACAGCTGGGCAGGTTTCCCTCCCACACAGCTGGGCAGCTTCCCTCCCACACAGCTGGGCCACCTTCACAGAGCCGGTGAGGGCACGTGTCTGCGTCAGGAAGACAGAGTGGAGTTGGTCAACATTAAGCAGGAAACCTTTATTAAGTGCCTACTATGTGCTGATCACGCTAAGACTAGAAAAGAAACAAAGAACAAAGGAAGCCCTGCCCTTGAGGGGTGAACAGTTAGGCAGGGGAACGGGATAACCTCAGTACACAGTGGAGAGCAGTGACACAGTGGCAAGGGTGTTGGCATCACTGACCGGCTTTGAATTGGAGTTCTGTGATTAACTGGGCAGGTTACGTCATGTCTCACTGATTCAAAGACACGCACTTCCCTCCTCTGCCTGGAATGTTCTCTCTGCCTTTGCCCTTTGCATGGTTGGCTCCTTCTCAAACTTTTAAGTTTAAATATTACCACCTCAGAGAGGCCTTCCGGACAATCTGGTTTAAATCAGAATGTAAGCTCTGTCTTATTCAACAGAGTTTGGTAGAGTAGGTTTTCAATACATGTTTACTACACAGGTGAATTATTGTTTTCTATCACAGAATCTGCTTGTTCCCTTCACGGCATTTCCTCAGCCTGCAAGTGTATGTTTGTGTATTGCCTCTTTCCCCAAAACAGATGGAAAGTTCCATGAAGACAGGGACTACATCTGCTTCTTTCCTTCTGTACACCCTCTACTTAACCTGTAGCAGTCTTTTTTCTTTTTAAAATTTTTTTCTTTATTGATTTAGAGAGAGAGAAACATCGGTGAGAGATAACTTCGATTGGCCGCCTCCTGCATGCCCACCACTGGGGATTTGGCCTACAACCTGGGCATGTGCCCTGACTAGGAATCGAATCAGTGACCTCTTGGTGCATGAGTCGACACTCAACCACTGTGCCACACCAGCTGGGCTACCTGTACCAGTCTTCATTAGGTACTGAGTACATAAATGAACAAATGAATGAGTGTTTTTGCGATACCAGATGCTAACTGTTTTGTATTTCTAATTAATAACCCAGTGAGGTAGGTACCATCATCTCCACTTTACAGATTAAGAATCTGAGGCTCAAACAGGTGAATTAATTACTGAAGGTCACATGGCTAGTAAGAGGCACAGCCAGGATTAGAACTCAGGTCTGTAGGTCTGACTCCAATGTATATACAACTGCTACAAAGTCTCCATGAAGGGGAAGACACTTCTCTAATGTATCAACCAGACAAAGCCTTGCATGGAGCAGGCACTGGAAAAGTGCTTCCTAAATGGAACAACGGGCGCATATTAACAAGTGTCTCTGGGAACACTAATTCCACACAACACAGAGGCTGAGGTTTGAGGGGGTCTGTGGAGCAGGGTTTCCCAGCCCCCACCCTTGAGCAGGGCAATTGCTCTCAACACTAAGAGTAATCCATCGAGGCAGTTCTTTCTCCCTCCTGCTGTGGGTGGGGAGCAGCAGGCCAGGCTGTGTTGTTTCTTTTGGATATTAAGATCTTCCCCCAAATGATTCTGAAAGCCCTGTCCCCAATGCCTATCCCACTGGACCCCACTGTGCTATTGGAATCATAACTGCACAGTTTAAGTCCTTGCTGATGGGACTGCTGCTTGGGAAACTGCCAGCAAAGGAAGATGTAAGATTAAGAACGGTGTTGGTGTTTTTCCTCGGATGAAAATAGACACAGAACAGAGATAAGACTAGCGTCAGGCTTGGAAGAATGACCATTACTTTAAAGTACTAAAACCTACATCTTGCATTAAGTCAGCTCAGAAAATGATAGCCTTTCCAAAGCACATACCTTTCTTTCCCTTGGAAATTCAATGACTCTCCAAAACTTTGTGGATTTTAATTCCACAAAGGGGATTTGGCTCCTTTTGGCAGTTGAACCTATACAAAAAGACCTAAGAATGTCATCCCACAGATAAATTCCTCTTGATGGCTTCTCCTGGCCAGCACGCACGGACCAGGAGATAAGGGCAGCTACTTGCTTATCCTTGCAGTCTCTGCCACCAGACCGAACCCGAGTCCCTCTGCTCTGAATGCAGGGAGAGGGCCGCACACTGACCTTCAAGCGGATTGTCAGACGTTTATCTGACAACAAGTGGATGCAGCGCTCCATCACATCTGAGGCTATCTGGATCTGCAGTGGCAGTGGGGGCTCCACATGGGGGCCAGCGTCATTCTCGTCCACTTTGGGAGGGTCTGACTGCTCCTCTGGAAAAAGAGCATACACGGGGACAGTATTTCATGAGAGACGCTTGACTTCAACTTGATCTTCCAACCTCAGATCCGGAATAGGACTTATGAAGAAAAATGTCTAGAAACTAATCCTAAGGACACTGTGTTAAATTTGGCTCACGATATGAGTCAAGATATTCACCAAAGCACTGTAACAGCTAAAAACTGGGGGGAAACCCTCCATGTCCACTCGGGGGGAATGGTTTTGTAAACTTGGTACAGCCATACAATAACATGTTATGAGGGCCCTAAACTTTGTGTTTACCATGGGCTTTAATGACAAGGGGGAATGCTTATGAAATAATATTGTGTTAAAAAGAGAAAAGGAGGATACAAAACTGCACACAGTGTGAGCACTGTTATAGAAATTTTTTTATAAAGACAGAAGTACAACAAAATATTAACAGAGATGGGTGTTGAGCTACTACATGATTTTTATTTCTTCCCTATACCTTTGGTCTTTTCTAAATTTCCATGAACAAATATTTACAATAAAAACATAAGAGAGCAAGGCTGTAATATGAAGCCTCGAGGATGCACAGTGCCCTGGGTGGCCTTTGGCCCTTTCTGCTTTCCCCTTGGTTCATCCTCTGACTGACAGGGGTACATGGTCCATGTCTGTCTTTGCCACCAGCCTTTAAGATCTTTTGATGGCCAAGATTAAGCCTTACTTATCTTTGTATGAGAGATAACACTGGGGCAGCTTGGTGCAATACACAGGGATGGGGTTTGGCTAGAGGAGCTCGATTCAAGTCTTGCCTGCACAGCCTCTAATCAATCCTCTCATCCCACGTTACCTCATCTGAAAAAAGAAATGAAGCATGCACACCTTCTTTGCTTGTGGAGACTTAAATGAATGAAGTCTCCAGCTATTCTTATTCTTTCACTGCCTAGAGTGCTTTGTTGCATGAAAGAGGTATACGTTTGTAAATTAAAACAATAAGACTTGAGAGTTTCATGAAACCCAGGTCAAAATCCCTACCCTGAAAATTTCCCTCTATTTCCTTATAGCCTTCAGCTTCCCCCTGTACCCCCATTGCCAGCTGTGCTCATTTCCGTTAAGCTGAGCATTGCTCCCTTAACTTTTTCCCATTTCAGTTTCCTCTGTTGGAAAACAGAATCTTACAGTAGAGGCCACACCTGTCTCTAACAGATGCTGAAGAGATAAACAAAAATGCATTTAAACAGTGCTTGGATTTCTTGGAGAAAGGGACCTCAGATAAACAAGGTGCTTTTATTGTGGTTAAAACAAACAAACAAAAATGCATGTCAAGCCAACATCAAGCCAAACATTCTTTATAATGCCAAGTGTGTGGTGTGTGCCTGATAAATGACAATTATAAGAATGATAAGGCTGTGCTTTTCTTCCCAGAGGATTTGTTGTGTGAAATTCACCTATTGCAGAATGTTACTTGAGGGACACGGATTTTTGTTACTGAAAGAAAGGTTTGATTCATTCAGTCTGCTCCTAGTGAACATCAACTAGAACCAGAAGATCCTAATCATGAAAGAATGGATTCACTGACACTGCTAGAATTTCAAACAAGAATGGCAAATCCAGATTGCGAGGGATCAAACTGCCTCCCCTTCTTCAGGTCTGAGTGAGGGGTGCAGTTCAAGAAAAGGATTGGGATGGCTCAAGAAACAAAACAGAAGAAAAAGCCTGATAGATTTCTGATCAGAAAACTCTGTCCTTGGGAAAACCAATGACTCACCTCAGCACAAATCATTATGTGGGCCCTGGGATGCTGCCTTGCTCTTTAGAAGGAATTTGTCGTAGTTAGTTGCATTGAGCTATTATTTCCTGTTATCCTGGAAGTCCTGGCTTCAGTTCATCAGAGTCTCAGAGTAGAAATCACCAAAAAGAGAAAAGAAATCTGCTCGATTCCAACCTAACAAACTAATTTGGGACTCAGTTCAATTTAGGCTAGTTCTGAGACCACCAAGCTCATTATAACTTGGCATTTTATATTTGCAGAGGAGATTCTAATAATTTATTAATCCTTTTGTGACCTGAAGCTCCAGATTGAACTTGTGAATAAAACAACAGGCCAGGGCTTCAGCTAGCCTAAACTCCCTTCTCCTTTATCATATAAATTGGTAAGAAAAACACTGAGCCCTTCTCCCACCAATAAATAAATGAACACAGCATATGAATAGACAATGGCTATAAGTAAAAACATTGTCAGGAAAGAAGCCTAGAGAAAGATGTTCAACCTTTCCATTGATCAGAAAAATGCAAAGTAAAATAACAAGCACCATTTTCATTTAGCAAGAGGTAAAACTGGTGATAGCCAATGTTGGTAAGGTTGTGGCAAAAGAAGTATTCATCCTGCACTGCTGAAGGGAAGGTATAAATGGATACAGCCTTTCTGGAAGGCAATTTGGCAAGCATAAACTAATGTTCATATCCTTGACCCAGAAACCCCCCTTCTGGGATTTATAAAGAAGTATGCAAAAAGAAGGAAAAGGTCACGTGCACAGAATCATCCTCTGCAGCTCTGTTTATTAGAGAGAAAAGCTAGAAGCAACCTAAACTTCCCACAGGGGAATGGATACTTAGCAGCAGCTATTAAAACATTAATTATTAAAACTCTATAGCAACATGGAGAATTCCTTATTATATAACTAACTGCAAAAAGGGCATAATGCATTTAAACTGAGGTCACAACAAAAAAGAATGGGAAAAGATTACACAAAAAGTGAGACCGCCTATGTTAGCATGGTGGGGTTAAGAGAGACTTTTCCTATTTCCAAACTTTCCATGATCATGTTTCATTGTTTTTACAATAATCTGCTTCAGAAAGAAAAAAACAACTAAGCCAAAATAAATTATAGTTACCTTCCTCATCAAAATCTGAGACATTTCCATGTGCTATCTCCTTTTCCTTGAGGTAGTTCAGCAAAAACTGTTCAATGTCTTCAGGTGTGGTAGTATTCTCAAGTCTGTTCTGAAGAGCTGCTGATCTTTGGCTCAAATGACTTCCCTCCTCCCCTACATTTTGCTCTTGGAGTTGCCCAAGATCACCTGGGTCCGAGAACCACTGGGCTGTAAATAAAGTGTGAGAATGATCACCTTGGTCATTGACAATAGGCATTAATACTTTGTAAGTAGAATAAGCTCTTTGCCATGGTCTGCATGGCCCCTACCTTTTTCTCTAACCTCATCTTTTAACCGCTCCCATTTGCCATACCATCTTCCAGTTCCTCCAATGTGCCAGGTGTTTTCCTGTCTTAGAACTTTTGAACATGCTGCTCTCGCTGTCTGGAATACTTACTGCCATGTCACATCTGGCTAATTCCAACTCACTCTTCATGTCTCAATATTAATATAACCTGTCCACTAACACCCACCCTTGGCTCCCTAATCTAATGTAGGTCCTTTATATAGCACCATGTTCTTTGTTTTCATATCAACTCATTGTGATTTGTAATTATATTTAGTTTGTGTGTACTGTTTAGTATCTGAATCTCCCATTAGACTCTAAGCCCCATTGAGCACCACTGGAAATCTGATATGTCGAGCACAGAATGGGTACTCAAAAATATATGCCGAATGAATAAATATACTAGATTGGATAACACATACAAGTGACAAAATTCTGAGTACAGGATACGCTACTCATTAGCAGAAGACAGGTTCTACAGAGCCTTGAGAATGTACAGTCTCCTATCTGTATTTCTGATATAAAATGCTCCGAAGGCTGCCATTTTCTCTCCACAGCTTTTCCTTCTTCAGTGATGCTTCAGTACTTCTGATGTGTCACCTCAGAATAAGCCTTAAATGCCACTGAACCAGTGGTTTTCATACTGTGCCTTGAGGAGCCCTAGGGCTCTGCACAAATGTCTTAGGGTCACGACAGGGAAGCCAAGAGATAGCAGGCTAAACAGGGTGGGCCCAGGGTTTCTAGCCCTTCTTTAACCACAGCACCTCTAATTTCAACAATTTTTGTACACTGGGGTCCTCTGGGGCTTCCTTTCAAAAAGACTCTTAATACTTAAAGAGTGAAAGAACAACAAGAAAAGCCCACAGCCTGAATTTTTGCTCTCCTTGTATAGACAGCAGGGAGAAAGTCTCTGATAACCTTTAGCACTTGCTAATCTCCTTTCCATCAAGGAACATCTGCACAGAGCCAGAGCAGCACCAAGTGAGGTGCCAGGTCAGGCAGCCAGGAGGAGCGAAGAGCAAATGCTGGAGATGAGAGCCTTCGATCTGGAGGGTCCCACATGTAGGGGTCAATTACGACATTTTCTCAATGCCCCATCCGCAGGTATAAATCAGGTCCATGATGTACACTAAGGGACTGCATTCCCAATGAGTTAAAAGTAGACAGGCTACAAAGATAATTTTCTAGATTTAAGGCTAGTGCCAGACATTAAAAAATCTTTGCTCACAAATGGCTTTTCAACATATGAAATGAAGCTCAACCTCACTCTTAATATAAATTAAACTATAATAAGGTGCTATTTTTCTCCTATTAGATTAGCAAAGATCCAAAAGCTGGGTAATATAAAGTGTGGGTGAGGGCGTCGCAAAATTGGCACTCTTACATTGCGGATGGGAGTTTAAATGGGTATTAACTCTTTGGAGAGCAATTTGATATTCTATCCAAAATTTAAATGTAATACTCTCGAAGTCAGCATTTGTCTTGAGAATTTTTCCCTACTGATGTACTTAGACATGTTCAAAATGACCTACAAAGATATTCATTTTTTGGGGTGGTGCAAAAGACTGGAAACAACCAAAATGTACACCAAACAAGGACTGCTTAAATGAATTATGGTGCAGCCACACAACAGATGATGCAAGCATCAAATCAATGTGGCACGATGCTTTCTTTCAAAGCTACTTTGTTTTGTTGTTATGAATAAATAATCAGCCAACCAGTAGTTGGTGTGTAGAAGTAATTTAACTGCAGATGGCTCTTGCCCTCACTGTGGTACATAATGCTTTTTAGTCACTGCTTTTGAAGCACTAGGTTTATGGTAACTCAATTTCCTAATATGTCCTTATTTCATCTAAGACCAACTGTTCCTTGTGACCACACTTCCACTCCCATCTTTAAAATGTGAACATCAGTTAGACAACTGGATGAAAACAAATGCCAGCATCCAGTGCTACTTTGATTTGTACGTGACAGACCACCTCCACCTCAGTGCTGCTTACCATTCTGAATGTAAGTGTATTCCGGGTTATCTCAAAGCTTTCAGAAAAGCTAGCCCCAGCTGTGCTGCTTTTCCTAGAATACTCTCAAGTCAATCTTACCCATCCTGATTTTCCTCTCTGCAATGGAGACCCCCTCCTCCTCCATTTCAATGAAATACTAGTGCGACACAGGATTCCTCCCTGAGAGATGACCAAAGATATCGGCAATCCAAGGCAATTCCATTTTCAAGGCCCAAACTGAGATAGCTCCTGAGAGGATATATTTGATAGGCCTTTTCTTAATATATTTTTTAAATCTCAAATTAACATGTGGTTGAGTTCCCAAAAGTACTAAAGGTAGAAGTCTGGAGTGTATTTGGACCATAGAAGTCAGCCATAGTCTAAAATGTATAAGCAATCAGCCAATCTTAGTAGTATTTCCTGGAGAGCAGGGACCAGTTTCTTCTCGGTCACTGCTGATGCCCCAGCGGCTTGTTCATTACATAGGCCTTCTGAGTGGTTGCGAAAATAAAATCTGAATTCCTTCCCTTGATCTACAAGACCCCACAGGATTTGTCCTTGCCCATCTTTCCAGTCTAATTTCCAGTCTCTCGACCATGACCTCTCTTCCATTCTCAAAAGACCCCAAGCCCTTGCATCCCTCCAGGCCTTTGCACCTGCTGTTCCTTTTGCCTGAAAATCCTTAAAAACCATAAAAATGATGCTAACAGCTCCATGTGTACCGGTGGGCCCTTCCCAATTTTCAGGTCTCAGCTCTAGTGTCACTTCCTCAGAGAAGCCTTCCTTGACCATTTACTTTTTTTTTAAATCCTCACCCAAGGACATTTTTTCATTTTTTGTTCAGATAGAGTGGGAGGGAGAGAGAGGAAGAGAGAGAAAAAAAAACACATCGACATGAAAAGGACACATGGAGTGGCTGCCACCCACACAACCAACTAGGGCCGAGGACAAACTGCAACCGAGGTCCACGCCCTCAGAGGGAACCGAACCCTGGTCTCTCTGGACCGCAGGCCAACACTCTAACCACTGAGCCAACCCGGCCAGGGCTTGACCACTTACTTTTATTCAAAGAGCATATATCTACTTAAAATAGCCTGTCCTTGTTATTCTCTTGTATCAAGCTGTCTAGTTTCTTCACAGTGCTTATAAGATTTTCAAATTAGCTTAATAATTTGTTTACTTGTTTATCACTTCTCTTGAAGCAACAGGAAAGCTCCATGAGTTTATTTGTCTTCTTCACTGCTGTATCCTGATTACTTAGCACGGTGCCTGACATATGGCAGGCACTTCTTTTTGAATGAATGAACAAACATTGGAAATGGTATTAGCTACAGGACAAAGGACTGTCCCTGTTCCAATCACCTTCCTGGAGAAACTTTCTTACATGGTCTTGGCTTTCTCAGCTAAGATGAGGTCAGTGGCCTTTCCACCTATTCTGGAGGCTATTAGCAGTACTGAGGTAAGTACTGGAGTTATGCTCTTTGGATAAAAGGGACTCAGGTACACAGCTCATTATTTTGTTCATTCAAAGACCATCAGTTGAGGGATTCTTTTATTCATACAGTATAAAAACTTTACCATTTTAATGGTGGCTAAAACCTCTGACAGACACCCAATAGGATCAAAGGTAAGGAGAGAATCTCAAACCACCTCATATAATTAAAATATTAAAAGAAGGTTTCTAGACTTGCTCTGTCCAATATGGCAGTCACTAGCTACATATGGCTATTTAAATGAAAATGAACAGGTCAGCCCCACTGGTGTGGCTCAGTGGATTGAGTATCATCCCATGGACTGAGAGGTCCTGGTTGGATTCCAGGTCAGATCACATGCCTGGGTTGCAGGCTCGATCCCCAGTAGGGGGTGTGCAGGAGGCAGCTGATCAATGTTTCTTTCTCATCAATGTTTCTATCTCTCCCTAAAAAAAAAAAAAAAAAAATCAATAAAAACATATTAAAAAAAAGAAAGAAATAAAATGAACAGTTCAGTTCCTCAGTTGCACTAGCCACATGTAGCTGGTGGTTACTGTATTGGACTGAACAGATACAGAACATTTCTATTGTTACAGCAAGTCCTATCGGACAGTACTGTACTAGATTATCTACGGGCTGAATAATTCATGTTATGCCTGTTCTCCATTAGCAATAGATACTGCTCATTCTTAAGTAATCGTCAGGAGCAGCTTGTTATATTGAAAAGAAAAATATCATAAATCCCGACTTTTCTCCTTATTAATTGTGTGACCCTGTCTAAATTGGATCTCACTGAGCCTTAGCTCTTATCTGTAAAACAAAAATAATATTTACATTTAGTCAGCAGAGTTTATGTCCCTAGCACAGAGCAGGAGCTCAATAGATGGTAGAGATTATTAAAAGTACACACACACACACACACACACACACACAATGGAACCAACCCTATCATAATATATGGGACTGGACAAATTAAAATAATATTCAAATTCAAACAATATTCAAATAATGTCCTCTAGAGCATAACCACAAAGAAAAAAATAAGGTTAGGCATATAAGGATACTAGTCCTTCCCCCCAAACAACATTAAAAAGGGTTCTCAATGTACCTAATGCAGCCAGCAGGGTGTGCAGAACACTGACAAAGGAAGTAGCACTCTTATCATAAAACTGGTCCAGGGCAGCCAAGACATCTTGAACCACATCTGCCACCAAAGGAAGCAGGCTAGCATCAGAGTTCCTCAGCATGACTTCCAAAACCTTTGGGGTATGGGGGTGCAGAGACAGATGACGCAGATTTAATGAGATCCCATTCACCAAATAGTCTGAATTTTGATTGATCAGGTGCTGTAGGGAGTCATAGCCACAAGCATGGCAAATGTCCATCATGGTGCTGGTAGCTGCCTGGCTAATGAACAGGGTTTGGTCTCCAGCCTTTTCCAGAACTGGATAGAGGGCTGACATCAAGAGCAAACGGAATTCTGTTCCTAGTGCATATGCAAAGTGGCCAATCCCTTCCAACTGGATGCATATTTGCCAGATGTTGCTGTTCATGGAGCAAATAGTGGGACTTGGCTTTGAGAAGGCTGTAAAAGGTGTAAGTTGGCAGGTGTGTGCACCAGATGTGATGGCCTGGAGGCCTGACTGCTTCATTGTTAGCTCCTCTCCTATTTCTTCAACTTCAATACAAGTGACCAAATACCAGTTTTCTTGGCTCGTGTATTCTTCAAGTAGAGATGTCACAATCTCTCTCAGTTCCTCTGAACTTGTTTTAATATGTTTTTCATGAAGGTTTTCCACTTCCAGTCCAGCGGCCCCGGCAACCAGTTCATTAAGGATCATGGCAGCTTGCTTTCGGTAAACCACGGACTCGTGGTACAGGTCCATAAAATGATCCACAAGCAAATAGAGGTTCCCATAAAAACCAAGAAGCTGACAGACCTGCCGCAAGAGCAGGAAAACCCTCTCATCAGTAAAGAATCGGAAATATCTCCTCTGGATTTGTCTCCAAGGCCGTGCGGCTGAGGTCTTTGGAGAAGCACTCAGATGATCAGTGGTCCAACGCCGCTCTTCAACAATTTTGATGTCAGTCACATCTAATTCTAGAACTTGGATAAGTGCTTTGGAAAGGCGCTCAAGGTGGGCCACAGAGTTGAGAACAAAGTTCACTTTGGGGCCCAAGAGTTTCAGATAACCGAGTAACAAGGAAAGTGTAGAGAATTTGCCCTGATCGTCTTGGGAGTTCATCAGGCGGGGAAGAGAGGTGGCAAGGGAATGTAGGTTTTCTGACAATATGTCAGCAAAGGCTCTGCTGCCCACCACTACATTCTGATCTGAAAAATGTCTCAGAACTTTATTGCACTGGGCTTGAACTTCAGGACTCTCATCATTTAGTAGACCCACCAAAGCCTTCAGAAGGGGACCAGCTGATTCGACCAGTGACTGACTGCACTTTGAAAGAAGGGCCTCAACAAGTTCTATCAGTCCCAGCCTCACCTTCCAGTGTGGGTGAACTGAAACACACTCAATTATCTTTTTAATAAGGATAGTCAACTTGTCACCAGTATTTTTTACCCAATTGGCTTCCCTGTGAACCATTAGCTTTGCTATTCTGTGCTCCACTGTGGGTGTTGCTTGGACCTCTGAGATTCTTCTGAGCTGTTCATCAGCCATGACAAAGCCCACTGTTTTGTAAAAGATCTTTAGAGAAGATACGACAATACTGTGCCCTTGTTTAAAGTCTCCTGTAATAATTTTGGTCAGTGCAGTTGAGATTCCAGGTAAAAATGAAGCAAACAAGTCCCCCAGCTGCTTTTGCTCAAGCTCATCCAAAGACTTTGGATGGTCATCACAATCACACTGGAAAAGTAGAACCTGTAAACATCTTAAGGCAGCGATTTTAATTTGCTTTGACTTCTCCTCTTCTGCTAGGCCTAACAATAAAGATACAGCAAATCCTAAACGAGGCAGAATGGAGGGCTCATAAAAAGTCAGAATGATGTCCCCATAAGCCGAGTGCATTAATGTGCTGAGGCCTTGGATCACAGCCAATTTCAATTCCTCTGACACAGAGGCGGGTTTTTGGGAGTTGGGGGAATATAGACAACTGCAGAGCTCAGAAAAGAGTTCCTGGAGAAGTTCCTGTTCCTTCACACATGTTGAGGAGAGGACAAATGTGAGGCACTCCACCACGCTTTGAATCAAGCGCTCCCTTTTGGGACCTGAAATCTTCAGGGTGAAGCGCAAAGGGAAGAGGATGTACTGCTGAAGTTCCTGGAGGGCAGAGTCACTCACAGTATGTAACTGTGCCTGCAGCTGCTCCACATTCTCCACTGTCTGGATCTTTGTGAGCTGAACACAGATGGGACGTAAAACACCAAAGGCCTCCTCAGGAGTATCAAAAACTGCCATGGTGCACTTCCTCTCACTGGGGAAACATCCTGCAGGCCGGAGGAAGGAAACTTTTCAGTAAACAAATCAAGCTAAAAGCAAATACAAAGTGAACTTGCATTCATTCATTCAACAGACATTTAGGGAGGGCCTATTCACCAGTCACTGCACAAGGCACTAGGGGAGCAATGGAACTAAAGAGATGGTCCCTATTCATAGGGAGCCTCCAGTCTAGTGAGGGAAGCAAATGGACAGTTACAACACGTTCTATTTAGAACCAGGATAGGCCTAAGTGAGTGTGGAAGACCCATGTGTCATAATCCTGGGGAAGCCAGGATAGGTTTCAAAGGAAGATGCTTGAGCAGAGTTGAGGGAGGAATGAACAGGAATCTGTAGGCTAGTGTAAGGAGTTTGGGTTTTAACCTGTCGTCATAATGAAAAGCCTCTGAGAGCTTGTGTTGTTGTTGTTGTTGTTGTTGTTAACTTATGGCATAACATACATACAGTAAAATGCACTAGTCTTAATGTACAGCTCAGTGAATTTTTATGCACGTAGAGATCCATGTAATCACTACCCCAAACAAGATACAGAATACTTCCAGCACCCTGGAAAGCTCCCTGGTGCCCTTCTGCAATCAATTCCTATTTCCCTTGCCCAGAGTAGCCACTATTCTGACTTCTATCACTATGGATTGGTTTTGCTTGTTCTTGTCACAGAGGTTTTAAGTAGCGGGAGATATGATCAACTTCATGCACTGAAAAGATCCCCCAGCAGCTAGTAATATGGGACAAGAATCAAAACTAGGTGAGACTGAAAGCAAAAACAAAGGGAAAAAGAGTGGCCAGAAAAATGGAAAAACCAGGAGTGCACATTATCACAGAAATCATGGGAGAAAGAGATTCAAGCCTGATGGAAAGACAGACGGCAGGCAATGAAAGGAGGTTTAAGGGTAAACAAAGGAGCTGAGCAACTTAATACGCGAGCGTCTCTTTTCTCTGTAAGAAATTCAAAGTCATGGGCTGACAGTGAACAAGGAGAGTAAACAGAGGGCTTGAGGAAAGGAATAAAAGGCTCAACCATTCCCTTTGGGGAAGCAAAGCATGCTGGGAAGACATGAAAGTGTGGCCCACGGGTACTGAGGACTGAGGTGACGCTGGAGACCATAAATGTGTGTAACTGCAAAATGCTGACATTGGATGGAGACTCAGAGGCCATGTAGTCTGGTAGTATCTCCCCCCCCCCTATTTTTTTTTTTGCTCTACTTACTGGAGGGTTCTGAACAGATGATGACAATAAAGTGTCTTTGCTGCCTCTCCCCATCCCCAATCCAATGAACTCTACTGAGCCCCAGTGACTAGGATTGGCAGGCAAGTGATGTTTGGTGGGTGTGGGCAAGACCTGCTCATCCCAGAGAGCTGGTGACTGAACTGTCCCCCTGAGCCAGGAGAGGGCTCCAAGGCCACAATCAGGCTTTATTTTAATACCATGAGAGAGCCTGGTCCACAGAGCTCCATGGACCCCTTTAAGGAAGGGCAATGCTGGTCTCCGTGACACCGCCCCCCCCCCCCAAGGCCAGGGGAGGGAAGAAGCTTAAATCTTCCCTATCCTAGTCTAGGAAAAAGCTGGGTGTGGATGCCAGAAAGCCTGGCCAGGGACTGCTGACATCTCATCGACCCCGGCTCACACACTGATGAGTGCTGTCTCTACCTGAATTATGGTTTGCTGAAACGGTAGAAAAGGAAGATAACCACTTAATGGGACCTAGAAGTCAGAGGTAGAAAAAGCAAATAAGTGCACCCTTGAGGTGGTGAAGCTTAGCTTCACAGAACCACTAAAGGAGACAGATAAAATTTTGAAAAATAGTAAGGCCAAAAAGGAAGTTCAATTCTAAGACAAAAGATATCTCTTAGAGTTTTCAAAACACGATTTTCCATCAATTGTACCAAAAAAAGTGCAATTGATGGAGAAAACAAAAAAGATGGCTAATTGCTGAGACCCAACTAGTGGCCTAGAAGACCAAGTACAGCTATCTTAAAACTCTGAGGAGATCGCTTCTCGGCCTTTTGGCTAAAATCAAGTGTAATATCTGTTCTTATCAGTTTAATATCTGATACATTTTTTTTTTTTTATCCTCACCCGAGGATATTTTTCCATTTTTTGTACAGATAGAGTGGGAGGGAGAGAGAGGAAGGGAGAGAGAGAGAGAAACATAGACGTGAAGGGACACATCGAGTGGCTGCCACCTGCACGACCAACCAGGGCCGGGGACAAACTGCAACCGAAGTACGTGCCCTTAGCGGGAACCGAACCCGGGTCTCTCCGGACCATAGGCCGACGCTCTAACCGCTGAGCCAAACTGGCCAGGGCTCTGATACATTTTTTATTGGATTCTATGATCATCATGTATCATCACTGTATCTTTTTTTGTTACCTGAAATAAAAATGTGGTAATCTTCCTGAAAACAAACAAACAAACAAAACAAAAACAAAAACAAAAAACACTCTGAGCAGAAATACAAAGAAAAGAAAATTGTGGGACTTGGAGGACAGATCTAGGAGAACCAACATGTAAATAGCTGGGAATTCTGGAAGGGGAAAATGGAACAGATGGAGGAGCTAAAACAAATATTTGAAACATTTCCCTGTGCTACAAAGAAAAAGATTTATCTGGAGACTGAAAAGACTGAAGAATATACACCTAGTCACATTCTGGTAACATTCCTGTACACTAAAAAATAAAGAGGAAAATCATATATGCTTTCAGGAAGAAACAACACATAAGTTACACTGGCTTTGAATTTCTCATTCACAACAATGGATACTAGAAGACAGTAGAGTAACATCTACTAACTGCAAATGAAGAACTGTGTAGCCCACTCCCAAACAGGCAAGATACTCACTAGTGAGGGTGAAAGAACAACATGCAAAGATTGAGAGAGGGTATATACCTGACCAGAGGAAGATACCTGAAAAAGAACTTCATTCAAACAAATGAAACAGAGACCTAAAATGGGAAGATGAATGAAAAAGGGAACACTGCTCAGGAACTTTTTTCTCTCTTAGCAAAGGAAACTTTCATCAAATAAAATGTTTAAGTGGAAGCTCAGCATATAAATCAGAAGGTCTAATTAAAGTGGGGGTGAAGGCAATGGCCTGGGGCTCTGCATCTCTCTTATTCATCTCAGGAATTTCAAGAAGATAACCCTGAGTGCCCTGAACTATATGTTCTAGATGATATGATAAAAACTGTAATAGAGCTAACGAAGTGGGAACACACAGTATGTCCAAAACTAAACGTATTTGCTCTTCTTCTTGTATTCTCTTTACAACTAATGGTCCTCACTGGAGCTAGAAACCTTAGTTCTCTGCTTTCTTAATTCCACCATTTCCTTGAGTTTCATCAGTTCTACCCCTTCAACATCCTTCTAATCTGTTGATGATGATCATCTATTTAATGTTGGACCAACCAGAGCAGTTTCCTCTCTGGTTCCCTGCCTTGTGTGCCTGCCCTTCTTGAACCTACATTTCATGCTGATATGTAAGTAATCATTCTAAACAAAAATCTGATCACCGTTCCCCATGCTTAAAATTTTTCAACTGCTCTCCACAGCTGGCTGAAAGAAAAAACACCTTTTTACCATGGCACACAGGCCCCTTCACCATCAGGCCCCTGCCTATCTCACCAACCTCATCTCTATTGCTTCACCCCTTGAACGTAAAATTATAACCATACAAAATTATAAAACTTGCAACTTCCCAAACAGGTGATGTTATGTCACATTCGCCTCCTTTGTTCTACACTGTACATACTGCTACTATAGTATTAAGCATGCTGTATTATTCTGTGTATGTCTGTCTTACCTACTTTAGACTGGGAAAACCCATACCTACAACCTCTTAGAAAGGCATCTGGCACCTGACAAGCACTCAAGAACAACTACACATATTCTGTGTTCAAGTAGGATATAGTAGGATGCAGCAGGACAATATTTCTGCTGACAACTAGAAAAAAAGGCAGGTAAATTACAAAAATAATTTGTTAAAATAGTCATGGAAGCAACATGATGAACTAATACTCTAGTGAGGGTAAATGTTCAGAATGAGTCAACAATCAAGAGCTACTTTTTTTTCCCTCTTGGTGCAGCTACTGATCCTGGACATGAGCTCAGGATTATGGTATGGCCCAGGTCGAGGGCTATCACTACCTAAAGAGAAATTAAAATGCTTTTAATATGGTCATATGGGGTTGAGGGGGGACAAAACCGCAGTCTTCAGGGATCTCAAAATACATGTCTTCTGGGATAAGGCTGAGGGAGAAATGACTAAGCAATGTTCAAAAAAATAAAAGAAATCAACCCACAAATTCAAGCAGCTCAGCAAACCCCAAGTTGATAATACAATGAGAAAGAAATACACATGGCTACCTCACAGTCAAAATGCTTAAAACCAAAAATAATGAGAAAAGTCCTAAAAGTAATGGAGCAATAAGATTGACAGACAACTTCTGAACAGAAATAAAATCCAGAAGACAATAGAATGACATCTTTAAAGCGCTGAAATAACTACCAACCTTGAATTTTACATCCTATAAAACATCGTTCAAAACTGAAGATAAAATAAAGATGTTTTAGATAAACAAAAACTGAGTGAATTTATTGCTATCTGGTCTACACTAAAGGTAAAAATAAAAGGAGAAAATGAACCTAAATAGAAACAAGGAAATGTAGGAGGGAATAAACAACAATACAATAGATCAATATAAAAGAGTATTAACTATACAAAACAATAAGTATCATGTCTTTTGTAGTTTAAGTATATATATACAAAATCAAAATGCAAAACAATAAGGCACAAAAGGAGCATGGAGGTTATATAAGAAATTAAGTGTAGTAAGAGTCTAGCAGTATCAGGAAATAGTAAAATAATCTGTATTAGACTATAACATGTCAGGAATACATGATGAAATCTATAGGGTGAGCTCAAAAAAAAACTGTAAAAGTATACTTAACAAGTTTAGAAACAGTAAAAAATAGATAATAAATATTGATT